GAGAGTAAGCGAAGTAAGAAGTTCAAGCGTTTCAAAGCTCAACCTTCCGAATCACACGCAGATCAGAAATACCCAGAGGAACCGAAGCGTGGCTCTCTTGAAGAAAAGCCTTCAGACAAGACGAAAGTTGGTGATTCTTGCGAGGAACTCGCAAGACAACCGCATCATCATCCCGAGGCCCAGTCTGGTGCTTGCGGCACAGGAGCAGAACTAGAGAAGAAAGAGCGTCTACCACACAACGTTACTACTACCAGAGGTCTTGAAGTTAAGTCTCCAAAAACCATCCCCCTCCTCTCAGAAGAGGTGTCAGCTGACTCCGGATCAACAGGACCTCCCGAGTCACTTCAAGCTTTTGCCAGTCAAGGAGCAGCAGATGATGAAGAAGTGATGTTAAGTGAAGATGAAGTGGAATCCACTTCTGGCAAGGTATTTAGGCTGAATCCGATCTCCTGCAGACAACACTCGAGCTGGAAAACATGGAAAACATTTTCAAAAGTTCCGGAAACGAAGATTCCAATTCAAAGCATTTGAGGAAACCTGAAAGGGCTGAATCTGAGTCTGAATCGAAGCTGGCCAAACCTGTTGTTGATGTCCCTGAATCTGCATCTGAAGATGATGATGCTGAACTGTCTAGGTTGGTCTATGACCTCTCTGAGGGAGGTCTGATGACGGAAGACGGTGAAAAGTTGCTCCCTGACGAAGCGGTTGCTCAGGGCATCCTTCCCGGTCACACTGCGGTCAAATTAATGGCTCACATAGGATTATTTGGTGGTTTCCTCGATGCTAAAAGCGGTGAGTCTCTGAGCATAGATGACATCATGAAGGAAGGTTTACTGGATGAAGAACTGATGTGGAGTGTCCTAAAGTCAGATAAAACACTTGCAGGCATCGTGGATGTGGAGAAAAATCAGATATGTGGGGTTAGGGAGGCAGCTCAAGCTGGTTTGATTGATGGCACCACTGCAACTCGACTCCTCGAAGCCCAGGTGGCGTCTGGAGGTATAGTGGACCTCCATAGGGATAAGAAAGTCTCCGTTACCTTGGCTTCAAACCTTGGACTGATAGAGGACCATCAAAGAGAAACACTTCTTGCACTTGAGAAGGCGTACCAAGGAAAAGTGAGCGGGACTGAAGTAGCCCTCACTAAAGCCGGTTTACAGCTACAGATGGAAGGCGTTATTGACCCAGAGACTGAGTGTCCTGTTCCTTTGGAACAAGCCATTGAGAAGTGCTTAATAAACTCCACACATGCATTTCAGGTGTTGCTTAGACAGGTGGCCGAGGGCGGGATAATCCATCACGCTTCGGGAATGAGGCTGTCAGTGTCTGATGCCGTAGACAGAGGTCTTGTGGATCGATCACTCGCTCCCGGCTTGGAGGAGATCGAGTGGGCTTACCAAGGTAAAGGCAGCTCCTCAAACATGGAGGCTGTCGTTTTACAAGCATCAACTGGAGCAATTTTTGACCCCCAGTCAAGATGTAGAGTCACATTGAGCGAGGCTGTTATTCGGGGGCTTCTGGATGAGGAGGTTGCAAATGAAGCTATGGCTTCAAACACAGCGACGCAGGGGGTGCTTGACCCCCAAACCGCTTTGATTTTGCCTTACTCAGACCTTGTAAGAAAGGGTAAGATAGACATTGAGACGGGCAAGCGATTTTTGGAAGTGAAACCATTCAGTGGGATAGAAAACAAACAAACAAAGTGCCACATGACTCTTTCTGAAGCTTTATATGCAAAACAAGTTGACCCAATTCCAGCTCTGAGACTGCTCCAATGCCAAGCAGACAGTGGTGGCATTGTTGATATAACCACTGGCAAAAGACTTCCTCTACGTGAAGCATCTGAAAAGGATTTGGTCTCTGAGGAGATGAGTTTAGAAATTGCCATTTACCAGATTATGAAAGGCGGTTTAGTTAATCCAGCAAATGGTCAGCAAGTTTTGAATCTCAGTGATGCAGTTGCTTTGCGGCTGATTTCTAGTGACATGGCTTCAGAAATCAAGGAAAAATTGACTCTTTTGAAGATAAAAAATGATGATGATGATGATGATGCACCCGCTATCACCTCATCACGAAGCATAGACAGCCCAGATATGCCTTCATGGGGTAGTGTAGAACCTTTGACTTCTTCAGAATCCATTGACGTCATAACCGAAGTAGACAAGCCACTGGAGTCAGATCTGTCCATCGACCTTTTGAGTAACTTTGCTGCAAATGTTGAGAAGAGAATACAGCAAGCCCTAGAGGAGGCCATACCACAGATTGCTACAGCAAAGACGATTCTGAAACCAAAGACAGTAGAAGAGTTACAGATAAACACAAATGAACAAAAACGATGTACACCTGAACGTTTGGTTCCAGAATCGATTCATGCATGTGACAGAGATTATGACGACATTAATGAAGAAGACACAACAAAGTCAGATGGGATCCCTAAGAAGTTGCTGTCTAAATCCAGTGATGCGAAAGTTATGTCGGTCATAGACTTTGATTGTCCACTGACTGACTCCAGAACATCTGATGAGGAAGAACACATCAAACCAAGTGACGAGGACTGTAAGATGGGGGAAGTTGTAGCGAGGAATGATGGAGAAACAGAAAATATTTTGACCTTTGAAATGCAGGCTACTTCTGCCATGGAGCAGCAAGAACTGATGTTGGAGGAGGCCCTATTGCAAATCGGTAGCTCAGATAAGATTCCTGAACCACCGAATGCAGATAAACTACAGAAAAGTCAACAGAGCACAGATGAACAAAAACAAAGCATACCTGGAGGTTTTGACGCAGCGTGGATTCACGAATGTGACTCTAATGTTAACAAAAGTGTTATGGAAGAGGACAGGAAAAAATCAGATGGTAAACTTGAGAAGATGCTGGGTATGCATAACGTTGTTGGTCCGCTGACTGACTCGAAAACAGTGGACCAGAAGGATGATAAAAAAGAACGAGTTCAAACAAGTGAGGAGGAAACTAGTGTGCAGTATGTCGCAGAAGCCAATGATGGTGAAAGAGAGAATATTTGCATTGAAACCGAGGCTCTTTGTGCCTTGCAGCAGCCAGAACTGCTACTGAAGAAGGCAGTGCGGCAAATTGATGGGACAGAAAGGATTCCTCAACCCGCGGCTGCAGACAAATCACGAGTAAGTCAGCAGAGCACAGATGGGCAAAAAGGTGCCACACCTGAAAGTTGGCTTCGAGAATCAATTCAAGCGCACGACATGTTTATTGAGAACGATGACGCTGATGTTGATAAAAGTGTGAAGGAAAAGGATGGACAAATGTCAGGTAGGAAACTGGAAAAGTTGCACTCTAGATCGGGTGATGAGAGAAGTACGTTGGCCCAGATCACAGATGGTTCATCAAGTGACCCCCTAAGAACACGCAACAAGGAAAGCAGGATGGGCGATGTCGAGAGGAACGATGCCGAAAGAGAGAAAACTTTGAGCTTTGAAAAAGAGGCTTCTTTAGTCATGGAAAAGGAAGAACCGCTATTTGAGTCTTTGGATAAAGAAAGTAAAACCAAGAAAAAGAAGAGGAGTAAAAAGAAGGCAAAGGTAGCAGAGGAAGACGATAAAACACAGCAACCAGAAATCAAACTTGGACCTGAAACCTGTCAGCCAGAGAAAGCATCGTCGAGTCACGGCAAGACATT